CACCAACAGCGGGTTCCCTTCCGTCCCCGCTCTTCCCTCACCACCAAGCCCCTGTGCAGAGCCCAGACCCCACAAAGGCCCACCAGTCATCACTGTCCACACGTGCATCTGACGTGTAAGGTGGTGGGGATGATGCTCAGACAGATGAGAAACCCCAGGGTCAGCCAGGCCGGCCTGTCCCACCTGAGCTGGGTGGAGACACCAATGTCACCCCTCTTGCAGCCCCCAAAGCTTGCTCTCTGGCCAACAGCTGGCTTTTGAGCCAGAAGACTGGTAACCCTGTTAGGATCTGGCAGACCCGCCAGGGTGGCTCCCAACTCACCCACGTCCCGCCCTGAGGTCCTCTCCTCCCTCCCCACCCTCTGGCTACATGGACTCTCCATCCTGGAACACCAGGCACACACCTGACTTGCCTTTGCCTCAACATTCCCTCTGCCTGCGATGCTGTTCCCCGGACCACGCAGGCCTCCCCCGCTCCTGGCCTCCTCCAGTCTTTTCTCGGGGTCTTCTCAGCAAGGCCCCTCTGACAACCCCCTTCACTTTCCTAACCAGCACCCAGCAGCCTGTCTCCTCGTCTCTTACTGGAATGTGTGTTTGCACGGCAGGCATTTCCCCCCTGCTTTGTGGCGATGGATCCCCAGCGCCTGGAACTACTCTGAAGCCTTCGGTGTGGGGATGAGTGAGTGAGGCAGGCGGCTGCCGGCGCTGGCCAGCATGGGGAAGACAGTTAGGGTTGTTCTTACGTGACAGTTTTTAAAGATGTCGTCTTTTCAACCAGGAAATTCTACTTCTAGGCCCCTGCCCTGGAGACATAATGAACTGGTGGGGAAGAGTTTCATCATTTCAAATGTTCGGCCGCGGTTTCTGTGACCTGTGGGTCTGGTTCCTCCACGGACGGAGCAGATGTCAGCGGCCTTTGACTGGAGAAGGTCCTGGGTCTTGCAGGCTTCAAAGGCTTCTTGGTTTATGTCGTGCCAAGAAAGCCGTGGCTGGGAACGGTTCCCTCCCTCGGTGTCTGCCTGTGGGGGCTCCCAGGAGTTTCTGGGCAGCCTCACCCCGCACTGCACTGGCCTCAGAGTCGGGCCTTCACTGACCAAGTCCCCGTCTCCTGCTGTCTTTGCTGGTGCTGCTCTTTATCTATCTTTGGGTTTCTTTTAGTATTTTTCCCCAAATTTTCAGATGATGTGTCTGGTTGATTGAATGTGAGCCTTTCTTTCTTTCTAGGTAAATGAATCTGGTCTTCCTGGTGTGGTCGAGTCTTGTAGGTGCAGTGTGGGGGCAGCCACGTGCCTTCCCTGGAGTGAAGAGTACGAGCTCCCCTCTGTCTGTGCTCACGATGGGGTCTGTGCTCCCCCGTGCCCTGCCCAGCAGAGACGGGGCCTCCAGCTCTCCACTCCCCCGTGCCCTGCCCAGCAGAGACGGGGCCTCCAGAGCTCCACTCCCCCGTGTCCTGCCCAGCAGAGACGGGGCCTCCAGAGCTCCACTCCCACCGCCCGGCTCCTTCAGCGTGGACACATCTCACCGTTACCCCGGTATCCGTTCACAGTCACTGAGACGTGGCCGGCAGCTTTGCCGCCTTTGTGTTGGTTTTTGTCAACATGCTGTTCTGTGTCCCACGCCAGCTGAGAGGCCCGTGGGGATGGCTGGTGGGGGGAAGCTTGGCCTGCAGGTAAAGGCGGGGCTGGGGGCCCTTCTGGGCCGTGGTGCCGCCTGTCTCCCTTGTGGTTTTAGCCTCAGGGGTCAGGGTCCCACTGGGCCTTCAGCTGCCTGTGCTACCTGGGCCTGTGCCCCTCCCCAGGCCTGTGCCCCCTCCCTGGACCTGTGTCCCCCTCCCTGGGCCAGGGCTCCCTCCCCAGACCTGTGACCTCTCCCTGGACCTGTGCCCCCTCCCTGGGCCTGGGCCCCCTCCCGGGCCTGTGCCCCCTCCCTGGGCCCGGGCCCCCTCCCGGGCCTGTGCCCCCTCGCTGGGCCTGTGTTTTCCCAAATGTACCCCACGGAGAGGAGCTGGGTCCTCACAGGTTCAAAAATGTCCTATAACCCTGGGGATGCGGTGTGTGTGAGGGATGGGAACCAGGCTCCGAGGCACACGTGTGTGAGGAATGTCAGCCCCCATCCCTGGAGGGCAGGGAGGGGAGTCCAGGGAGGTCCTGCCCCTGGCCTGGGGAGGTGGGCCTCGGTGAAGAGCCAGGGCCACACTGGCATCACAGGCAGGCCCAGTCCCGGTGGACACGTCCGGGCTGCCCCTTTTCCTCCCCTCCATCCAGAGAGCACCAGGCTCCTCCACTAAGATGCCACCCAGCCAGAAGCCCAGGCTCCCCAGGTCACTGAATGGGGCTTGCAGGGCCTCCCAGGAGCCATGGGGTGCCGGGGGTGAAATGTAACTCTACCAGGCAGCCGTCAAAGAAACAGGTGTAACTGCATCCCCAGCATGGAGAGGAGGCTGGCTCGGGCCAGCAGTGTCCCAGAGAGAGCCCAGGGTCCGGGAAGCACAGCAACCTCAGGCAGCCCCGGGGGGACGTTGATGGAGGGACCGTTGGCAATGGTGGGGCAGGGAGTGGGGAGAAAGCAAGCTCACAGCTGGAGGGCGCCGGGAGGGTGAGGTGAGGGCGGGGTCCCTGGGGCCTCAGTGCAGGGAGACAGGCTGCCTGCGCACCTGCCGGGACGGAGTCCCCCGACCTTGGACTGCCGATGCCAGAGGCTAAACCCACCCTCCCCAACCTGTGCTGGCCCCAGGGTCAGCCTGGGCAGAGTGCGGTGGGAGAGGTGCCCAGGGCACCTGGAGGGGCAGGAGGGGGACACCCGCCCTGCTGTACACAGTCCCTGCTTCCCCCACGCACTCCCCACCAGCCTGCAGAGAGCATGGAGTCGCTTTCACTTCATCAGGATCCTGGAGCACCTCCTCCTGCTGCCTCGGGTGGCCCACAGCTTCCATGACGCCTCACCGGTTTCTGGAGCGCCTGAGCTGGGATATAAGCCACTGGCGTTGATCTCTCCTCCCCTGCCTCGGGCCCTTCGACTCCCAGAATAACGAGCAGGAGTGGGAGCTTCAGCCAAGGCCCCTGCGCACTGCCTTGGTTCACCCTGAAATCCGGAACACGGCATCTTGGTTTCCAGGAAAACTGCCCTGGGTGCCACAGCACAGCCTGCCCCCGCTTCAGGCACAGAGCACGGAAGATTCTGTGGTTTTCACACCTGGGAAGAAAAAAGAAAAACCTCCCAGGTACTTTAAAGTGGCAGAAAAATGAGAAATGCTTGGCCACAGGTACACCTACAAACCCTGCTGTCGGCACAGACCTTGCTGCAGAAGTCACAGGAAGGAGCAAAGAAGGAAGTGCCAGCCCCTCCTCTCTGGGAGACCGTAGGAGAATGAAGGACCCCTAGCCGGCAGCTGCTGAGCTCATGGTCTGCTGACGGCATTGCCTGGGGTGGGAGGGAAGCCCAGCCAGCCCAGGCAGCCATGGGCCAGCCACGGGTCTCAGAGGGAGAACAGAGGCCTCCCGCCACCAGCAGCACTAGTGTGCCAGCCATGTGCCTGGACTTGGCCCCTCCCTGGGGAGGCTCTCAGATGATGGTGGCCCCAGAGGTATCCAACTGCAGCCTCGTGAAAGCCCTGCGCCCCAGTGCCCATCTAAGCTGCGCTGGATTTCCTGGCTCAGAGGAACTGTGAAGATAAGGAAGGTTTGTTGTAGGTTATTGCGAGCCATTAAACTTGGGGTGCTTTGTTAGGACACAATGGATAGCAAATACACCATTGACGGGTCAGGAGTGCCCAAACTGGGAAGAAGATCTCACAGGGGAGCCTGTGCTCACGGGGACTGAGTCAGCCTCACACACAGACACATTTTGTTATGGGTTGAATGGTGTCCCCTCCCCCAAAAAAAGGACGCACTGAAGCCCTGCACCCCCATACCTGCGTGTGTGACCCTACTTGGAAATAAGTTCTTTGTAGATTTAATCACATTAAATCGAGTTCATTAGTATGGGCTGCAATCCAGCATGACTGTGTCATCACTAAAAGGGGAAATGTGGACACAGACCCAGACGCACAAGGAGGAGGCCATGTGAAGACGGAGGCAGAGACAGGCCAAGGGATGCTGGGGGCTGCTGGGAGCTGGGAGAGGCAGGAGGGATCCTCCCCAGAGACTCTGGAGGGGGTGCGGCCCCACCCACACCTCGATTTGGGACTTCTGGCTCCAGATCTGTGAGACAACCTCTGTTCTTAGCCATCAGGTTTGTGGAACAGTGTTGCAGCAGCCCCAGAAAACGAATGCATATTTCTGCACCTTTTAAGAGCAGAGACAGGCCAGACGTGGAGGCTCACGCCTGGAATCCCAGCACTTCAGGAGGCCGAGGCAGGTGGATCACCCGAGGTCAGGAGTTCAAGACCAGCCTAGCCAACATGGTGAAATCCCGTCTGTACTAAAAATACAAAAAATAGCTAGACGTGGTGGCAGGTGCCTGTAATCCCAGCTACTTGGGAGGCTGAGGCAGGAGAATCACTTGAACCTGGGAGGCAGAGGTCGCAGTGAGCCGAAATTGGGCCATTGCACTCCAGCCTGGGCAACAAGAACAAAACTCCATCTCAAAAAAAAAAAAAAAAGAAAAAAAAGAAGAAGAAAAGAAAAAAGAAGAAAACACAATCAAAACCCAGCTCAAGCAAGTAGCATTTGTGTGAATCAGTTGGCCTCCGTTTAGTACTATTCATTAGACAAGGAAAAAGGAAGTTGTCTTCGTGTACCACTGGGGGTTTGCAGTTTTTAGGTAATAAGTTTATTTTAAGTAACTATGATTTTTTTTTTCTTTCAGTGCTCAGGTAGCCACAACTTGACCATGGGGACGCCTTGAACTGGCACTACCTCCCGTCTGCACCCAAGTCTCCACCAGCCTGTCCCTTTGACGACTCTGGGGTGAGTGTGGCAGGGACTGGGCAGAAGTGAGACTTTGACCTGGTGGGTGCACACGCATAGGTGTAAATCTAGCTCCAACATCTTACATGAGAATGATTTGAATTCAAATTCTTGAATGGCCCACTCTGGAATGTCATCCCTCCTGTTAATAATTTCATGACCAATGCAATTCTTTGTTCAGCTGAACATTTCGATTCCAGTGAGCATAATTTCATGTGTGTGGTGTTGTCAGCAGCCACAAATGAGTCTAAAATGATATCACGGGGTCTTGGGACGGTGCTGGGAGCCTCTCTGCTCATACTGGCCCGAATATCTGGGGATGGGAGTCAGAGCGCAAGCTTGCAGGTGGTCATTCCTGGGAGCATGGTTTTAAAGCAATACAGTTCTCTGAGAAGAGAAAAAAAGGTGTCTTTATCTTCAGAATAGTCAGTCTTTAACATATTTTTAAAATAACCCACAATTTGGTGTTGAATTCTAATTTTAAAAGGACACTCAGATATTCATTTATTTGAGATGGAGTCTCACTGTGTCGCCAGGCTGGAGTACAGTGGCGCGATCTCAGCTCACTGCAAGCTCTGCCTCCCAGGTTCATGCCATTCTCCTGCCTCAGCCTCCCGAGTAGCTGGGACCACAGGCGCCCGCCACCACGCCCGGCTAATTTTTTGTATTTTTAGTAGAGATGGGGTTTCACCGTGTTAGCCAGGATGGTCTCGATCTTCTGATGTCATGATCCACCCACTTTGGCCTCCCAAAGTGCTGGGATTACAGGGGTGAGCCACCGCACACGGCCAGGTATTTATTTCTTAATGCCCAATTCCTACAAAGTGCAAAGGCCATTTGAGAATGTCAGAAACCGTAATGGAATAAGATCAAAATACAATAACTTTCCACATTGATATTATTAGAGATGCTTGCCTTTAAATTTCACCCTGCAATTCAGGTTCAGGAGCAATTTTGTAGGCCTTTATAATATGATGACATAATCAATGCTTCTATAAAATCCCATTTATGAATGAAAACAAGGGAACCATCGTGTGTGTCAGAGTCATTCACAAAATGTTTAATGAACTGTATGAGGTAATGACATGACCCAAAAGGGGATTTCCAAAATGCCCAGTCTTTCAAAAATGATATGAAAATCTCCAGATCGGACATTTAAAATGATTCATATTATCATTGGGAAAAGCATGTAAGATGTATTAAAGAGGGAGCATGGTTTGGCTCCTTTTTAAACATTTTAATTAGTAGACTTTGTTACTTAGAGCATTTTTAGGTTTACAGAAAAACTGAGTGTCAGGTCCAGGGAGCCCCCAGTGCCTCAGCTCCTCTGGGACTGACACCCTGCTTCCTGTGCTGCGTTTGGTACAATTATCAGTCACGCGAACACACAGCTCACATTAGAGCTCACTCCTTGTGTCAAACATTTTGTGGGTTTTGACAAGTGCGTCATGACATGGATCCACTAGTTCCGGTCCCTTTTATCAGGTTAAAAATAAAACGGGGACTTGCAGAGATGTAAATGTGGCAGTAATCACCTTTGTTATATTTTTCCTTCGGAAAATATTAGCCTTGGAAGGAAATGTTTGAACAACTAGCCACTGTTCTTTGTCTGGGCACATGTCCATAGCAAGCGTATTCTCTTATCTGCTTCATGTCTGGGCACATGTCCATAGCAAGCGTATTCCCTTATCTGCTTCGTGCTGTTGCCAATTTGCAGACCAGTAGCTCAGAAGCTGTGATTTTTCTTCTAAGCATAAGCTTATCCTCAAAATGGAAACAAAATACAGTTTGGTCTCATAGGCGCATTGTAGTCTTGCTGGCTGGAATTCACATGGAGACCAATGACATTGCCTCTTTCCTCTGCACACATCCATCCATCCATCCACCCATCCATCCATCCATCCATCCATCCATCCATCCATCCATCCATCTAACCATCCATCCATCCATCCATCCATCCACCCATCCACCCATCCACCCATCCACCCATCCATCCATCCATCCATCCATCCATCCATCCATCCATCCATCCATC